TGCGATACTCATTTACAGGAACTACATTGACCGATTTTCAATTTCAGAGACTATTTTAATGGAGTAAATCAATTTCAAGAATTATTCATGATAAAATCCTGTAATGTATTTTTGGCCTCTAAATATGACCGAAAGTTAAAATATCTGCAACATGTAGCAAGTTTGACCTTTTAGTTTTAACTCATACACATTAGGAAGTGATTAAGTGAAATATACAGTTAAATATTACTTTGGTACCTTCTAAAGTTGAGGTCTCGCTTTTTGACTCTACAATTATATTCAGTGTCAAATATGACTTTACATTTTACATAACACCCAAGTCATATGCGACCGAAATTTTTTTGGTGCATTGAAGATGGTTTGAATCAAATTTAAAGCCAAATATAACTTTTGATTCAAACTTTTTCTGTCCAATGGATTAGGCAAATGGCTGGAAACAACAATTATGAAATTTTTACATATCACACTTGCTCAGTGTGCTCTCCTGACATCGAGTATCCCGTCCAGTTCACTATGTTATTAGACTTTAGACATATAATAGTTTCAAATAGAATCTCTTTAGAAAGAATATCTTTTGTCTTATGGTAACCTGCTCTAATTCCCTTACGAAACTTTCGTTATTGGATTAGCTAGCCATAAACTTTACATTTTTCTGGCGACTCACATGGCATCATCAACCGATACAAGTTTTGGATAAGAATCTACAATGCACTAGAACGCCCTTGTTTATGATCCTTGATGTTATGTCCTTGACTAAACCTAATTGTACAAATTTAAGTTAAATGTTGTTTTATATCTTGGAGGAGTGAAGTGCTGAGGTGAAAATAAAATATGGGCTGCCTCACCCACTGGCGAGGCCATAGAGGCGCAAGAAGGTGCGATGCAGCACCTCCGATCGTCAAATTTTGATCCTAAGAGCGAGAATTTGCCCCTCTGCTTCTTCTGAACTTGCACGGCAATGCCCTGAAACGTGTAGGACAAAGGAAGGGAACTCAGCAAAGGTGGCAGTGGCGGGAGGAGGAAGAAAGAAAAAAAAATGTAAATGCCATGGACCACACGACGTCATTTAGGTGTTTTGTTCCAGCCATTAATTGATACATGAGCGTTTCACCACTCAATTTCGTTTTTCAATTTGTACCTCTCTTCCTTTCTTTTTCTTATTTTTTCCGTCCTCATTCATGAGTTAACTTTTCTTTTCCTCAAAGTTGTTTCTTCCTTTTCTTCTTTAGTTACAATTTTCATAAGAGGCATTCGTCAATTTCTCCCTTGAACTTGTAACCTGCAGCCAATTTACATTTTTCATAATTGCATAAGTCCCATTCTGCCAAATCCTTTTTCTTGTCCAGGGGAAACAATCTATATTTTGACCTTTGTTTTTTGTTGGAAAATTTGGAATGCTGTTAGCTTTTTTTTTTTTTTCACCATGTAGTTATAAGTTTTTCTATGTATTTGTTAAATGGATTTGTTTGTTGACTGTGCTTGCTAACATTGAGTGTTTGCAGTGGATCCGTAGGTTTGACTTGGAAACTGGAAATTGTTCCTCCTCTACAGACCTCTATACACAAATACTGGATGGAAATTACGGTGCAGAAGCAAAGCTGGTTATTCGTCGTCCTCAGTTATATTCAAAATTTTCGTTTTTGGTTGGACCTTGATGTATGGTAATTTTTATGAAATAAGGGTAACCAAACAATCATGGAACTCAAGTTTTACCAGGGAAAGTATGCATAATCAATTTTTTTTTTTTAGGTTTTATCACAAATGGTTCTTGAAATTAACCCTCATTATCAATATGGTTCCTAAAATTGAAAATCAATCAATGCATCCATTTCGTCACAATTCTGTTAAAAATTCTGTTAAGTACTGATATGACACATAAATGGGCCCTTAAGTCTTTTTTTCTCACAAACGGCCCTTAAAATTGACCCACGACGACATCAAAATAGTCCCTGAAATTAACCCGTGATATCAAAAGGATCCCTAAAATTAAAAATTGATCAATGTAGTCCCGCAAGTAAGTGTCTCAAATTAATGTAATCATTCCATCACAATTCTGTCACAAATATGTTATGTGCTGATGTGACACATAAATGGGTTACACAAATCTAATTAAATTAAAAAAAAAATACAAATAGAGCTTAACAATTTAATAGTTAATAAAAAAATTGTCAACCCAAAAAACTAGTCATGCAATCACCTCCAATCATAGTTCACATTTCTCTACCTCTTCCGCTCTCTATTCTCTAAAAAAAATCTCAATATACCCATCTTTATACACTTCGACACTCTTCACCTAATTGAACTTGAATAAAGGTGACGGCTTGGCACATTGGCAACAACCATTGGGACATCACTTTTAGCATTTAGGCGATCAACATCCTCACAACCTTAATTTTGAAGAGCTTGTTCGGCGCTTCCCTGATGGTCTGGTAATGCAAAGAATGACTAGATCTGCCTTGAGATAATGAGGTTACAACCGATGTGTGTCCATTGTTAGTTGAAAACTATTTCCACAACTCCTCTTAGGCTTTGGTTAAGCCTTGTGCCTCTAAGAATTTATGGAAGGTATCTTTCTTAGGAGTAGGTCCTACTATAAGAAAAAAAAAATCCAATGTGCAAAAAGGTACTTGGACAACTTTTTTAATTAATTATTAAACCCACATCAACACATAATAAATTTTTTCACAGAATTGTGGCGGAATTATCATATTGATTTGCGACATCTATTTTCAATGACTAATTTTGATTGATTTTCAATTTCAGGGACCATATTGATGGTGTGGGTCAATTTCAGGGACCATCTTGATAGTGTGGGTTAATTTTAAAGACCATTTGTGATAAAAACCTGTAAATCTTGTTGAGCCAATTTATGTGCTACATCAGCACTTGACGGAATTTTTAACAGAATTGTGAAAGAATGGCCACATTGATTTGCAACACCTATTTTCATAGACTACATGACTGATTTTTAATTTAAGGGATCATCTTGATTGTGAGAGTTAATTGCAGGGATCATTTGTGATAAAAACCTTTTCTTTATATCCAAAATTCTTTTTGCGACGGCATTCCCCGTCGCCACCAACTTAATGAAAAATGCAAAAAGCCTACCCCAATTTTTACGACGTCTACTACCGTCGCCAACTCGACATCTGCCTACCGTTGCAAAAGACCATTAGCGTCGCTACCTTTCCATCCCCACGTTTGTCATCGCCCTGCCACTGCAAATAGTTTTTGCGACGGCATGGCCGACGCAAAAGTATTTTTCCCCAGTGGTCATGGGAGAGAGCCTTCCACCAAGGAGAAAAAACCTCTATCAGCGCCGTCAATATTTACTTTCATCGAGTTTTATAATACTTGAGGGCAACTTTTGGGCTGTAGGAAAACAGAGCCCTATATACAAGACAACTACAACCACTCAATGTAATGGGTTGTAAATTTGTAAGCTCCCATGCTAACGTTTATTTATTTTTATTTTTTTAAATACTTCTGTTTAGAAACATTCTTAATAAAAGCACTTCTATTATAAACACATTTAAGTTTTTTTTTTTTTAAATGCAAGTGCTTCGTGGTCAAGTGCTTTTTTGAACCTAGAATCACTTTTAACTTTTCCTGCCAAACATAAGTTTTTGGTAATCTAAAAACATATTTAGTTATTTTAAAAGCACTTTCAAAAAGACTTTTAACAGTCTCATATGTTGGATTTTATTTAGGCTTTTCATTACAAATGATTTATTTTAATTAACCCATCATTATTTTGGTCTATAATATTGTCGTTAAAATTGATTATTACAAATCAGTGTCGTCATCTATCCGTCATATTAGAATTAACGAAATGTTTATGTTTTTACGATGTACTTGGTAATATTTTGGAGGATCCGTTGAAGTAAATGGATTCATTTGCGTGTTTATTGATTTTTTGTCCTTTTTCTTCACAGGATTCGTAGTACCATAATATGTGTAATTCAAGTAACTTCATCAGTTGAAATTATGGGTGCACTTTCCTTCTCTAACTCAAAAAGTAACTTATTTAGGCGACCAGTAATCCATTGCATAGAGCAGTCTTCTCTTTATTAGCGATCGATGCATGTAGACCATGTGAGATAGAGATAGAATCAAGCATGGCTTTATAGATTGTTGATCCATTACGAGTGCATGGTTTTTGAACAAAAAATAAATAAATGTATATGATCTGAAGAATTTGCACGCAACGGGATGTATTTTTTTTTTCTTTATTAATTTCTCTCTTTATATGATAAGATAGTGTGACCATAGCACCGCTCAAGTGTTATCCTAATCTATGTGTTACAACATGCATGGTTACATAGTTGGACGACATAATTAATATATTATGGATTAGAAGCAACATATGACATTATAACTGAACAATCAAACGACAAATCATTTGAAAGAAAGGGTTATACACTCGATATAGAAGGGAGGTTTATCTACGCTTAGTACGACATAGTATCGGTATCCTAATTAAATAACACGCTGTCATATAGAAAAGTTTAAACTTTTTTCATAATGGCAATTTTCGTTTAGGATACTGACAAAAATCACATATGTAAGTCCCTCCCTATAGCCTACGGGCAAGTTTATTTTTTCCTTTTCCTACTAAGATCCTACAAAAGATAGACCACAAACACTAAGTACGCAAGCAAGCTATCTTTGAGGAAAAGCCAATAGCAAATTGCCACGTGTCAACTCGAACATAATGCTAGGAAAACTAAATTTTTTAAATCAAATTTGCAAACTAAATGATGTAGCTGTAAATGATTGGATTATTAATTAAGTCTCGATTAATGTGTTTGTTTCTTATTAGTGACACATCATTTGGTTTACAATTTGATTTAAAAAATTTGGTCTCCCTAACATTATCCTAATAGTTAACCTATCAAGTGTTACTCATGTAATTGTCTTGTCACGAGAAAATCTCTGTGAAAAAGTCCCAAAACATGGAACAGCTAGTGTAAGTATAAAACGCTCCCACCATACTAGCCTGGTTGGAGAGTTTAATGTAACCTCCACTCTTTTCATTCACCTTTTCCTCGTTACATACCTCAATATTTAATCAACCAAACCCTACGCTCCTCCCTCCTATAAATTCTTCCTCCCCTCAATTAAAATTCCAATCCATTTTCTCTCTTTTTCTCTCAAGATTTTCAGCGATGGCCCAGCTGCTTGATCTGAAAGATGATCTAGACATTGTGATTCCAACAATCAGAAACCTTGATTTCTTGGAGATGTGGAGGCCTTTCTTTCAGCCATACCACCTCATCATTGTCCAAGATGGTGACCCCTCCAACACCATTGCCGTCCCTAACGGCTTCAACTACGAGCTTTACAACCGCAATGATGTGAACAAGGTCCTAGGTCCCAAGGCCAGCTGCATTTCTTTCAAGGACTCCGCTTGTCGCTGCTTCGGTTTCTTGGTTTCCAAGAAAAAGTACATCTTCACCATCGATGACGATTGTTTTGTAAGTTTTGTGCTCCTTAACAATGTTCCTTTCCACGTTTATCAAATGATGTGTTTGTATAAATGTGACGATATAAGTATTGCATTAATTGGTTGAGAAAAAATGAAGGTGGCGAAGGAGCCTAGTGGGAAGGAGATAAATGCTTTGTCACAGCACATTAGGAACCTGCTGACACCATCAACCCCATTGTTCTTCAACACACTCTACGATCCGTTTGCAAACGGGGCGGACTTTGTTCGCGGGTACCCGTTTAGCTTGAGAGAAGGTGTGCCTACTGCTATTTCTCACGGCCTTTGGCTGAATATCCCTGACTATGATGCCCCAACTCAGCTAGTCAAGCCTCTTGAGCGCAACACCAGGTTACCACAACCAATCCATTTCCATAGTCAATCTTCTAGGTTTAAGTAATGATATTTATATTTAAGACAAATAAAATTGACTACATTGTTGACATACTTTTTAATACAGAAGAATCCAATATACAATAATAGAACTCATTTTTATTACAAAAAAATGTATCAACAATGCAATTAGTTTCGTGTCTAAATAGCATTACTGTTTAGATTTCGGCCTTGGTTTAAAATGATTGAGGATTGAGTTTTTTTAGCTCATGTAGGTATGTGGATGCTGTGATGACAATCCCCAGAGGCACCCTTTTCCCAATGTGTGGGATGAACCTGGCGTTCAATAGGGAGTTGATAGGTCCAGCCATGTATTTTGGGCTCATGGGTGATGGCCAACCCCTTGGTAGATATGATGACATGTGGGCTGGCTGGTGTGCCAAGGTAAATTAGTTCCCAAATTCCCATCCCATTTTACTCCATTTATGACGTGTTTATTTATATAAAATAATTATTAAAATTATTCTAATTCTAGAATTCCTAGGTGTCATAATTATTTCATTTTCTGATTCTTTATGTTTATCAATACTTACGAAATAAGAAACGGGTTTTATATTAAAATTCATAATCAAATACTTGAAAACTCAAGAATCATATTAACTAGGAGATTATTTTATCTCATGCTTATTCTTTCTTTCTCTTCCCCAACTCATGATGTTGATTGGGGTTGTTTGTGAGTCATTGATACATTTACGTCTCACAATACTTCAACGACTAATGCTAACATAATTCTTGCTTTCAATTAGCCAATTTGGATGTTTTTATGTGACATGCATACACTTGCATAGTTGCATACATATATAAGACCCTGAACAATGATATGTGTGTTCTTTCTTCAGGTGATTTGTGACCATTTGGGTCTAGGAGTTAAGACAGGACTGCCATACATATGGCATAGCAAGGCAAGCAACCCATTTGTGAACTTGAAGAAAGAGTACAAAGGAATATACTGGCAAGAAGATATGATTCCATTTTTCCAACAAATTGTGCTCCCAAAAGAGTGCAAAACTGTCCAAGATTGCTACATTGAGCTTGCCAACAAGGTGAAGGAAAAGCTTGGCCCTCTTGATCCCTACTTTGAGCAGCTTGGGGATGCCATGGTTACTTGGATTGAAGCCTGGGATGAGCTCAACCCACCGCCTGAAACAGCAAACTAATTTGGCTCAATCAAATGGTTTTATATGAAAAATCATCCAAATTGCTAAAATTTACTATTGAGTTGTTATGAGTTTTTACTGTATTAGTAGGTAGTGATGATCACATTACCCGTTTTACTGTACTAAAATTGTTCCTATAAAGTTGTTCGAGTTGAAAGAGTAAATCTTTATGCGTTTTTATAAATTTTCATAACTGTTTAAGAGTAATGACTTTCACACTTCAATTTTTTTTCTTCTCTACGATCAATTCGTTATTTCTATCTATTGATTCTCTAAGAGGAGTGCGAAAATCCCATTTTGAAAAATGAGTTTTATCGAAAAACTCTCGGTACTATTCACTTTAACGAAAAATCACATTTTTACTCTAAAAAGTCAATCATGGTACTATTCACTTGCAACACATTTTTGTCATTTTCAGCATGGAAATAATCTTTTCTTACTTTACTCCTTAGTTAAGAACAAAGCTTTTGAATTGCCCAAAATGCTCATGCAACATGGATTTTTAGCTTTCCATCTCAAGTGAAAACAATGCAAAATATTGCGTGTAACAGTAACACCACTTTGAGTATGACATAAAAGGATACGTGCCGACACAAGTTTCCTTCACAGTTAGTGACAATGTACGTTGGCCACCGGCCACTGAGCCGCCCACAGTGTTCTACATGTTTCGCGTTTTTGTCAGAATAAATACATGTACACTACACTTTTAGTCATAAACTTTTTCTCTCTCAGATGGATCAAAATAACCAAATATTCTTCCTCGGTTCATCAGCAACCTCACCAGCTTTTCTTACTTGTTCATCGAACCAGTCAAGCTTTCCTCATTTTCTCAGTGACAGAAGTGCAGGCAAGATGAAGTCAGGAAGAAAAGAAGGTGACAAAGAGAGCGAGAAGCACAAATATGCATTTCAAACAAGGAGCCAGGTTGATATACTTGATGACGGGTACCGGTGGCGAAAATACGGGCAAAAATTTGTTAAAAACAACAAATTTCCTAGGTTACTATCTCTATATCTCCCGGCTATCATCAAATAGTTTTCGAATTTTGAATTTTTGGTATTGATCTTTTTAAGGAAACTGGTATTAAACGGAAGTTTTTAAGTTTTTGTGATATCTTGGTTCTTTGTATTTGCTCTAGTACGGAATATATTGGTTAGTAGGTTTGTAGATTTTATACGTAAAAAAATAAAATAAAAAATAAAATAAATAAAATAAAAAACTCTACTTTTTACTGTTTTCCGGTTAAGAAAATGCTCTAGTTCAATGTGTTCTTGTTCTGCCTGCTCATGTATCAAACTGGATTTGTTCGACTATTTATGCAGAAGTTACTATAGGTGTACACATCAAGGATGCATCGTCAAGAAACAAGTCCAACGACTTTCCAAAGACGAGGGGATTGTGGTAACAACATACGATGGAATCCATACGCATCGGGTTGATGAGAATTCTGCTGGAAATTTTGAGGAGGTACTAAGGCATATACAAGCATGTAATGTGCCTAATGCTTAAAGCTGTTGGTGATATTTCCAGTTTCCACCATGTCACGTATAGTTTGTAGGGTCTTCAAATGAAGATTGTTTTAATATCCACCTGATAAAATAAATTTGCTCACTCTGCTTTAGAAAAATACCACTTTTTGGATTGTAAATTCAAAAAACAGACAACGTAAATTCACTCATAATAATAAGTAATGAAAAAAAGGGCTCATCAACTTCCTTGGAGAAGAGGATCAAACAAAAAAGTGAAGACGAACCAAGATGATTGAGAGAGCAAACGGGGGTTAGACTAGTTGGCCAGAGTATTGTGCGCACCCCATGCACAAGAGTTCGAATCTCCCTCCCTGTAAATCATGGTAATTTAGAACTTTGCTTGTCTTAAAAACCAGGATGATTGAGAAACACAACATCATGTGGGGACTAAGATCACCTCGTTTTCATTTCCATATCCAGCAAAGCCTCTGATAAAGTAAATTCCAAATACAATCGAAGCAACAGCAACCACACGCATCGCCATAACAATGCACCTTCCTCCATTATTACCACCTTCATTGCTATCAACCTTTTTCACTCCTTCTGTCTTCACATTCTCATCAGCCAAAAAAGAAGAAGAACCCGAAGATTGCGCACTCGAACACCACTGAAAACAAACACCAATCTCTTTGCTCTTACCAGAATCATCATCACCATCAGAACCACCATCAAAGGACAATGATCTCACCTCACTCTCCCGAGCCAAACCATTTTTCCAACCACCCGACCATGTCCCCTCCTCTTTTCCTCCATACCCCCTCTCCTTTCCGCAATCCTCCGCCTCGAAAAGCCTCCTCCCCTTTAGCCTGCCGCTCTCAAGGGCAGCCCTCCTCTCTCTCCGTATCTCCTCCACCACCAAGTCATTACTCCTCACCTTCCACTCTCCTCCCTCTGATGGAGAAACCCCATGTTGAAGTGAACACATGAGATGCCCTGGGGAAGAATCAAGCAATTGGTCAAGATTTTTCGCCATTGAAAAACCTGATGAGTAATTTGTTGAATATCTCCTCTTGGTTTTCGGGTTTGAGTTTTTGTAAGAGTCCCAGTCTTGCTGCAGACTCATGAACTGCTTCTGCAGTTTTGCAACCACGCTCTCTTCTTTTTCTTCCGCTTGGTGAGCTTTCATGGTGGGGTCCTCCTTCATGGTGGGTGGGGTCCTCTGAAATTGTAATTTGTTTTGTATTTTTGAATCTTTTTGATTGGATTAGTGAAGGGATAATCTGGATTAGGGAGAATTTGGTGGGTTAATTTTGATTTTAAAAGTCAGTCAAATATGACTTTAACTTGGATAAGAACCTTCCACGTTCTAATATGACTTCACCGTCTGTTAATCTGGACCATTAAATCACTAATCAGATTTTACAGCTTCCCTTCCTTTTCTGGTCTTCGGATCCGATTCTTTCTATTTTCTTTTATGCTTTTAATTACTTTTACTTTTTAATCAAGAAAGAAAGAATCCTTTTTTAATAGTGCTTTTTCCTTTCCAATTTTAACTCAATTTCTTGTTTATTTCCTCCCAAGTACGAAATTTATCCAAATATAACAACAAACACTGTTAGCTTTTTCTTCCTAAGGTGAGATTCATCCAAGTTCGATTCCCACTCTCTTATAAAAAAAAAATTAAAAAAATATAAAAAAACTCCCTCCTTTTGCGACAGTAAGGAAACATTTCTTAAGATATGGAAAACGAAAGATTTTATTTTGATAAGTTATCAGACGAGTGCAAAAAATAATTTTCTTAGAATGTCAATAACAACGGCCAGTTATAGTAATTAGTTTGCTTCTTAACCACACACTTCTTGTCTAATCAAATTCATCAGAAAACTGCTACTCAATTTAGAACTTCTCTCAACCCACGCATTTCTTTGCACGAGTGAACGTCAAATTCACAAGAAAACTACCGTTCAAAATTTAGAGTTTTTCTCACCCGCACATTTTTTTTTTGTCACTCATGGAAAAAAATGTGCAAAAAATTGGACCATGATCCTTATTTCTCCTCGTATCAATCATATGATCTTAATGATCTTAAAGAGAATGAAAAGAAAGAAATATATCCAACAGAGCAGATTCTTATTATTTTGTTCACAGAATTTTATTTTTCTTCTAACTTTACCAGACAAATTGAATGCTCCTTGCCCACAACCCATACGACCTGATGACCACAAACAATGTGATCACGACCAGTTTTTATGGTCACAGCTTCAGGTCCCTACCCTCATTCTATACAGCTCCACTCGACAATTTTCAATTTTCCCCTCAAAAAGGTACAACACGAAAAAAGCTACGCTCCGTCGAGCCGAAGATTTGGCTAATCAAATAAACAAAGAAGCAAATGCATACATCTGAATCTGTCAACACAAATAGCCATATCTCGGATTTTATCATCTTCGATGCACTTACGAATCAAGTCAAGCTGACGAACAAATGTAAAATCAGAATTAGAATCATAAATGTAGCGGTAGAATTTGTTTGAAGCTACGCTATAAGCAAGATTAGGATCCATGAAAAGGGGTCATCTCTTCTAAAATTCTATCACGAACAAGCATGGTTGCGACTGGGTAGTCTCGTGCTTCCCAAATTCTTCGAAATATCAAAGCTTTTTCCTCTGCAAGGCTGCTCGGCTTCAAGGGTTCCCTGATATGTCCTCGATTACACCCTTTCCATCCATAGCATCGAAGAAGAAGAAATTCTTGACAGGGTCTCCTTTCTCTGATATTGTCTTAATAACCTCCTGAGAAGTTAATTAACAAGATGTCAATATACGGTAACCAACACTTCCGCTATAAATTTTTATGTGAAAGAAAATGGATAGGCGGAGCACCTGCCCAAGAATCCCTCCAATGATGGGGCAAACTGGAGGAAACTCTCTTGTATCTGTCACCAATCTTTCCAGGAGCGCATTTGGAATATGAGACTCATTCACTGACTGCAATATTGTCACAAAAGCAAGCATAAGAAAATGCACAACAAACGAACAATAACAAATTCTGAGTACCCATACCTGTGCTTCACAGAGTTCTTTTTTCAACTTCAGAACAGCAGGAAGATCTGCAATTGATAACTCTCCAGGTTTACGTTGCTCGGCTTCTTCAAACCTTTCTATTGCTGCAAGAAAGGTGAGGACAGTCTTGTTCAGTCAACTATAATTATAACAGGATGGTAACCTATTCACACGAGATTTATAATGGATTAAGGGTAAAAATCTTCTTAATGGGAAAATTCAAAACCATTTAACAGTATCCAATTCATACAAGGTTTAGTAGAAGTAGAACAGCAGCATCAGCGTAAGACTCATAAGAAAGCAGTAAATACGATGCATCCTATGACTGAGGCATTCCGGTGGTATTCAAATGATATTTGTATCGCTCATCTCTCTACCATTACCATTTTCGTAATTGTAAATCTTTTTAAATGTAAGAATTTCACTTCTCATTTAGCAATAGCTTTGACACTTTCATGGAAGGACTCTCCATGGCTCCATCCCTCTTCCCTCAGTAAAAACAGGAGTCTTCTCACCTTCCTCTTTTACCATATTGCTATATTTCTTTTACACAACTTCTATCGGAACAAGTAAAAAAATTAAATAACAATAATTAAACACACCTCGCATGGCAAAGTATAGTTTTGAGAATCTCCTGGGAAATGATTTCCAAGGTACTGAAATTGATTCCTGTAATGTAAGATCCATAAGATACTTGATGATTAGTACGCTAGAAATATTTATGATGAACACTACAACACAATTTGCATAAAAACAGATGGCAATCCTATATACATGTTGTATGAACAAGGGTTAATACCACCGACGAATATTAATCTTGTGGTCTTAATTTGATCAGTCCACTAAGGCCTATATTTAATTAGCGTGAGCATGATATGAAATCTAAAATAACATTATAAGAAAGAACAATGACCAACTAATCATACCTCAAAGCTTGGATACTGTAGTTCACATTCGATTGTTTCCTCGTTTTTTATCTGCCAAGAAAAAACGAGATAAATTTACTCGTTAGAGAATATACACTGACAATGCTATACTTCTCCAGGTGCATGTAATCTAAAATTTCGTAGCCCTTGGAAGCTTTGTTGAAGTTATAGCAATGATGCTATCAACTCACTCGACATAAAATGAACGATGAAACTGGGCAACTAAAAATAATGACATTAGTAAAGTCTGAGAAAGCAAATAAGATGATCACTTTCGAATATTTATGGTGTTGCAGATCAACAAATATTTCACCACAGGAGTCTCTACAATCAACAGTATAAAATGCTACACGCTTTGAAGACTTTCGGCATTTTTCATTGATCAATTTCTGCAATAGAAGAATTGAGATGGAAAATAAGAATATGAATTCATGAAAAATGGATGTTTCAAAAAGGTAAATGTTAAACATCAAGGGGATGGGTATGCGTAGTACTTTAGTTGTAAAGGAGCAACAGCTGACAACGACGACATCAAATTTGCTATAGAACTCTGCCCCAAAGCTTGCTAAGTCACCTGTGAGATCAAGATGAAGTATATATTCTCAATTTCTCTTCTCGCTGCTTGGACGAGGTATTAGAAAGCATTATTTAACTAGTCTGTCTTCAGTGGCATAAAACGGCATAGCCATGCACTCAAAAATGATGTTCGGCTACACTAGGATTCACTTGATAGCGACAATAACGATACAAATATATTGGAAATTGAAGGCATCTGAGGGCAGACCTTTTTCTACAGAAACACGAACCATCGGATTGAAATCTTTCAGAGAATCACGGCAAAGTTCAGTCAAAGTTTTCCCAGCATACACATTTTCATCAGAAGGGATCAGAAAGTTGGCAGACAGCGCGTCTTCTGTCACTACCCGATCATCCACCAGTGTCAAACTACCAACTCCGGCTAGTACAATGTTCTTACAAAACTACCCAAAAAAAGAGGTCACAAAAAATATTAACATGAATACAACTTAATATTCTAAAACATTCTATCACCACCCCAAAAACAAAATCATATATGAAGGTGTTGAATTTACCTCTGCAACAGTTCCAGTAATTCCACAGACTAATACATGAGCTTTGCTAAGTCTTAAAAAAAAAAAAAACAAAAACAAAAACAAAAACAAAATGAATAAAAAAAAGGCAAAAAATAGCTCAAAATTCCAAATATTTCTTTAATTAATTCATAACAATTGTTCATGAAATATTTTAAAATTGCTTACCTTCTTTGGGCACCAGCACCCCAAACCCTAATCTGGCGATCGTAAAGAGCAGTCTCCTGCTCAGTCAACTCCTCGCCGTCCATTCCCAACCGCAACCTGAAATTTTGGAAAATTAAAATTAATTTCACATTTCTAACTCAAAAAAGTTGAGAGGTACACTGAATAACCCTTAAAATTCAGTTACTTGCAAAATTATTAGTAGGTGGGAGGTGAGAGAAACCCTAGAAAAGCTGAGAATTTGAATTGCTGAGAAAACTGACAGACAGTGACGACGAGGGGCTTCCGAATTGGAATTTCAGTGTTCTTTCTTTTTATTTTTTACCCAACTTGTATTGGGCCTTTTTTTGGGTTGGCATGAATTACCCATTAGATTTGGTTGGTACAAACCGTTGTCTGAGGCCCATGAATTGGAGAGAATTGTCATGTCATCGGGTGTATAAGTGCGTCTTCATCTCGCATCACGTATCTGTGTTACTTTGCACAGATTCTTAGCAAATGCAAATGACGATAAAACAGAAATATATGTTTAACCTGCAATGCTAATAATTGCGCATACGTTATAATTTGAGTGGATTGGTAACAAATCACGTTATTCTATTACATAATGTGCAACATAAGATGCGGATGACATGCCTATTAAACATGGGAATTAGTAGTAACTCCCTTGAAACAATATGATTCGTCTTTGCTTCCTCCACAGTGCACAATAGCTCCTTTGGTCCAGCTCCTGCAGCAAAATTACCGTTGGGGTAAATCAAATTGAAACCTGCTGTGAATTTATGAATATACAGTACTCGCTTGCTTCCTCCAAAATGCATGACAGTGCTTTTAGTCCCACTCCTGCAGTAAATTGTTCAGGTAAAAAGCCGATTAATCAGATTCAAAACCACTGTGGATCTGCTTGATTGTGACCATAGGTAAAGTGCAATTCCCAACTAGCCTCCTTCGGACCCAGAAGTGGTGGATAATCCTAATTCACCACCAGGTGTGCCCTTTTTTCTAAAAAGAAAACCGCTACGAATAGTTATAGTCGTGATCGCAGTAAATCAAAACTCAAAAAAATTTGACCCTGTTGGGGAAAACTACTGAATGAATGTTACCTGCATGTTGGTTAAAAACTTGCTTTGGATTTCTTGTCATGGCGAGTGGCCTAATATATAGCTACCTTGATCGTCCAAGCACAAAATCCAGTGAACAATATGGAGAAATATGATCTCATATATTTATTGATAAGAATTTTTAAATGTGCATAGACCATGCATGTATGGAGGCAAAAATATGATCAGTCAATGTTTATAAGCAACTTTAACGAAAAGTTTCCGATATTATTCACTTTAATGAAAAATCACATTTTTACACTAAAAAGTCAATTCTAGTACCATTTATTTTACCCTTTATTTGTCTTTATCCTTAAAACTCAAAGTTCTCGAATCATTTTCATTATATTTTCTATCTTTATATTAATTCAGGCATTATGCATTGAACTTTGAGTCCAAGAATCTGAATAGTTTGTGTACCTCCCAATATATTAAAGATTCAAGCTTTGTTCTCAATACCATCTTAAGTGATTGGTTTGAAATGTGTATTCGTCACATTAGCACACACATAACTGATTGTTTTACTTTTCTCATACAAACGAACGATATTATTTAGAAAAGAAAAGGAAAAACTTTGGGTACAGTAATAAACGCCCTGTACTACTATAATTACAAATTTGTTGCATGTACATGCATGGTTGTCAATTGTGATATCTTGCATAGTACAACGAGAAAAGTCATTGTCAAAGTAGGGTATAGAGACATGGGTATGAACGTGGCTCGGTCGTTGAACAGTCACTAATCATGATAATCGTAAAAGAACATTAACTAGGTTTAGAATATATGAAAAATAAGTGGACTTGGATCTTCTTCTGAGCCTAAGGAGAGGATTCTTCTGACCAAGGATCTTAGACTATTAGATTATAATTATTATAACTTTAAATGGACCTTCTTATCTGTAGCCGTTGGATGAAAATCCAACGGTTCAAGATCTTTGGTCAAGAGGATCCTCTCCTTGGGCTCAGAAGAGGATCTAAGTCCAAGATAAGTGAAGAAAAACGATTGCAATTAAGAATAACATCCATTTTGATGGGCGTTGAAGTGTAATCAGAGTCATTTTTTCGTGATTTATTACAAAATGATTGGAAGTTCACTTTTAAAAGGGACTCAAGATAGGTAAAGAGTTCAAAAACATGCAAACGACAAGCATAGAAGGAAGTTGCCAGGCAATTCCTGACACGACTCAATAATCTGACATGACATGATACAAAATTAATAGGTGCCCGGGTCAACAGGATAACGAATCGAGTCTTTATCGGATAATCTGATAAGCACCTGTTAAGATAATAGATTGGTTCGGATATACAGGTGAGTAACACGATACACGATAAGCAAATATTAATTTTATAATTTTATAACCCTAAAAAACTACTATAATAATTATATATATATATATATTAATTTAACAATTTTATACCCTAAAAACTATAATTATATATATATGTATATATTAAATTAAATATTAAAAATTGGTGACCATTGGATCAGCTTAAATATACATGTCATTCAATTTCTTAAGTGTTATAAGTACAAAATAAATAAATTTAAATCTGCTTAATAAATATATATATATGTGCACCATTGAACTTGATGGGATACGAATTCTACGAAACTAATTTCAACGATCTAACTGTCGAACTTGTTTGTATATGCTTCGAGGTCGCATTAGCAAAAAATCGCAAAATACAAACATTAAGAAATCAAGTAATGGGACAAAAAATTTCGACGGTTATCAACGAAAAATCAAGATTTAACGGTTATTTTAATTCTGATTTTGATGATTTTTTACAACTACACTCCTTGACCCTATATGAATACAATGAATGAACTCGATCTTCAATTTAAAATATTTACACTAGTGGACACCACAAAATCTTATGTTATACTTAATGAAAATATGAATAAATTCTTAAGTGTTCGCATTCTACGAAGCTAGTTTCAACAATCCAACCGTCAAACATGTTTGTATATATTTCGAGATCGCATACGCCAAAAATTGCAAAAAACAAACATTCAAAGATCAAGTAACGGGACAAAACTTTTTGACGGTTATCAACGAAAAATCAAGATTTAACAGTTATTTTAACTCCGATTTTGATGATTTTTTACAGCTACACTCTTTAACCTTATTTGAATACAACGAATGAATTTGATCTTCAATTTGAAATATTTACACTAGTGGATACCACAAAATCTTATATTATACTTGATGAAAGTATAAATAAACTCTAAGTGTTAGTGAATCTATCGTTTTAATGGGATACGCATTCTATGAAACTAATTTCAACGATCCAACCGTCAAACTTGTTTGTATATGCTTCAAGATTGCATACACTAAAAATTGCAAAAAACAAACATTCAGATATAAACTAACGGAACAAAACTTTTCGATGATTATCAACGACAATTCACGATTTAACGGTTATTTTAACTCCAATTTTGATGATTTTTTTACAGCTACACTCCTTGACCCTTTATGAATACAATGAATGAATTCGATCTTCAATTTAAAATATTTACACTAGTATACCACAAAATCTTATGTCTTAATGATCGATGAAAATTGAAGATTTTGTAAAAGGAATAACATGCAAGTTTTGAGTTCCATTGGCAAGGTTTAAACTTTTGAGAAAGGCTTCACAACCTTGAAAACAAAAACTCTTTCATTTTGCATATCCTTGCATATTTAATATTTTGTAATAAACTAGTAGTGTATGGATGTTTGTTTATTAGGCTCTTATTTTCGAGTGTAGATGTAGTACTTAAACGACAAATGTGTTTTAATGTTTTGAAGTAATATTTATGTGGCAATGTGTGGTATGTGCAAATATTAAAAAATATATTTTTTTTTTCTTTACAGGTCGGGTCACTTTACTCGTTGAGTAAAGTGATCTGACCTGTTAAGAACCCGTTAAGATAACAAGTGTTACACGAAAACGACAGGAACACGATAGACACGACCCGTTTGCCAGGCCTAAAAGGAACACCCATAAGCAATATTATGGTCAGCATCATATTAAGCAAGTGTTACCGAACACTTACTGGCTGACACAAAGCACAACCATTGCTCTTAACCTCCACCGACCACTACTCCTTGACACAAAACAAATGAATCTAGCCCAAAAAAACCAAGTGTCACCTAGAGATACAAGTAATAAGAAAAAGTTGGACCCCAAGTTTTCCACGAATTTAGAACAAAGACATAGCAATTTGATCTAAGGGAGTTCGTCAGCTCATTTGATTTGTCGACCTCTATATAAAGGAAAAGGAGAAGCCTAGGAAAGTTAAGTACTTAAGGCTATCTCCAACTGATTGGGCCAAAGGGTCATGGGACTAAAAATAATCCAAAATAACACGAAAATCGTATCCAACCAAAGGTAAGACAAAGAGTTTGTGGGCCCCACTAGGCCAAAATTGTGCAATCAGGCTAACTGGCTAGCCCAAACCAACCAGCCCCGGGCCGGCCCAAAATTCAAACCCCACAGCTACCTGGCGTTAGCAACTAGTTGGCGTCATGCTGACGCCAGGTGACCGTTAGAATTTTTTTTTTTTTTTTGGGACAAAATTTAAAAAAAAAAATTCTAATTTTTTTCTATAACTACCTAAGCCATTAAACAACATTAAACAACACTAAACAACATTAAACAATATTAAATAACATTAAACTTAAACAACACAATCTCCACCCTAGTACTGTTTGGGGGAGTTATTCACTTTAGCAACAAGTGTCACTCGAAATCTTATTCAAAAAATTATTGAGATTACATCTCGAAAAATTATTGAGGTAGTTTAATTTAAGTAACCATATTAATTCAATTAAAATAATAAATTATGTTTGGCCTATGGCCCTTTGGTCCCCTCCGTTGAAGATGGTTTTTTGTTATAGGACTCTGTTTGGCCTATGGTCCTTTGGTCCCCTCGGTTGGAGAAATATACTAGCATTATTCATTAAAATATTAATTTCTTGGAAGGCTATAGGGTTAAGGGGAGCCCTCTAACCCTCATTTGGTTGGAGATGGCCTAAGTTCCTGTAACAACCTTAAAACTACATAGCAACATTTCTCACTACTCCATATATACTGACAAATGCATCAAAGTGGTTAGGCCAGTACCACACCAAACTCTCTGATACTACTTGTGTTCAATTTTCAAGTGAAGAGAACGGAGCTCTAGTCCTCGATAAATACCAGTTTATAACCCTAAAACCCCTGGTATTTAAGCTCTA